GGTGGACTCGGCCCAGCACACCCTCGAGGTGTGCCCGAGATGGGCTGCGCAGCGCCAAGACCTTGTGGCGGCTCTCGGCGGAGTGGACCTGTCGCTTTCGAGTGTCGTGGAGAAGATGCTCGAGAGTGATGGGTCCTGGTTGGCGGTGTCCTCCTTCTGTGAGACGGTCATGTCCACGAAGGAGGCATCTCAGCGGGAAAGGGAGAGGGCGGCTGATGCTCCCTCCCCCCGCAGGCGACGTACGGGGGTGCGACGGAGGCAATTCCTACGCCTCCAATAGCACCCCTGTGTTCCGGGCTGGGGTCGGCGTGGTAACCCGGCCCTTTTGAAAGCCCGGCGTCGTCGGGGTGGTCCTAATTGCCGGGATCGCCCCCATTCTCCGAGGGAGTAAGTCCGGTCTTTGCCAGGACCGGCCAGTCGCTGGTGTGCCCTGTCGCTGACAGATCCGGGGTACACCGACATAGCGGCCGATGGCTTTCGCAGTGGTTTTAGTGAGTAGGGGCCTGCCCAGGCCGAGCCTCACACATCCCTTCCGGCCCCACCAAGGTCGGTTGGACGGCTCGTAAAAAGAGTTTCCACTACGTCAACAAAAAAAAAAAAAAAAAAAAAAAAAAAAAAAGGGTTCTAAAGGTCATAGCGATATTCTTCTAAGTGTATTAATTACTGACGTCAAACTTGTATAACTGTATAAAAAAGGCGTGTTTATCTATAAATAAATCGCCATCCCTCTGACTCCTATATTGTAATGTGTCAAGGCTTTCAAAGATTGTGGTTGTATTAGATATGCTAATTACTATTAAGACGCGACGTAACGAAGTCGAGAGTTTTAAGGAGTTGTTAATGTGTGTTTACGTTGTTTCGTGCACAAAAGTCAATTAATTTTATAGTACAATTGAAAGAGTTTTTCCTCTTTAAATTTCAGTCATTGATTAAGATTCGTATAAATGAAAATAGGCAGCTGTTTAAAAATAAAAATCCAGTAATATTTATTAATTTCACTATCTATACATGAATAAAAAAATATTTTTTTCAAATAAGTTATTTTTTTTACGTTACATTAATTGCAAGAAATTCGTTTATATTTTTTATTTTATTTTAAGGTTTATTTTGTTTATTTTTATATTTAAATATCACTTTAAGGCTCTAATAATCTAAAAGTCATCTATTTCTGGCTCATGGTGCTCTAACTTTCGGCTTGTCTCACTTAGAAGTGAAATACCTCATACGATTGTTGTATTCTAACAAAAAAAAACTACAATTATATATTACGTTTTCTTAGTTCAATTCGTTTGTTATATAATATTGGTTCCTAGAATGGTGTATCAAATTTATTACGTGATACACCAATAGCCACTCACAAGAACTTTCGCATTTTACAATTAGTTATAGAAAGTAGGACGACAATACTATCTTTGACTTTTGAGACTATAACTTCTAAAGCTATCTTTAATACTTAGTATTTCTATTTAAAATAATATTATTATTATATAACTTCAATATTTTATTAATATAGATGACTCAATACGGAATATGCTATGAGAGTGCAAAGTTTACAAAACATTATAATATGTGTGACATTTATACTGATCTTTGTACTATAAATAAGGAAAAGTTACTTATACTTATAGTAGATTATGTATAAGAAGTGTCATTAAAGAAATTAATATTGTTACCAAGTCTTGTATGAGTGGAATAAATTTGTCAAAAATAATATGTACGGTACAAATAATTATAAAATAAAATATAAGAGGTTAAGTTGTTATAATAACTAATAGAACGATATCTTATTGAAATCTGTTAATCCTTTATTTTAATGGGACAAAATAAAATCATTCCAATTTCATATAAAATTTCTTTAAAATATATTTTATTTTTCTAGAATTAACTAATCACTGTTTTATTAGATTAATATTATTAAATTATGATTAATACATTTTATGCTGCGCAAATAAAAAATGTTGTAAGGACGCAACAACGTATGTAACATGCATGCTCTACATTTACATCTATTAAGAGCTTCAGCACAAACATATGTATGGATGAATGCTGACCAAACCCAACTACAGCTAATTGATTACACCTTCTTAGGCTATGAAAGGAAGGATGGTAAATTGTATCCACGACAAATGGCCAAGCAACCACTGCCGACATTGTTAATTCAACCGTGTAAATCAGCATGCAATTGTAAAACGATGGCTTCCTCTTGTAAAATAATACATATTTATTGTATTTTATTATGCAAATGCATAAAAAACGATTGTCAGATTTAAAAGATTGAAATAACTATCATTTTTCTATTTATAACACATTAAAATTTGATTTTTTTGAATTTTTGGTTTTGTATCAATAAGAATTGTTTTTAATTTTAATTTTCCTATGTTTTTTTTTATTTGAATAGTTGTATCTTGTGTCTTTAATCATCAAAATTAATTGGATATTCTCACTAAAACAATCGTTATAATCAAATCAAAGTATGTGTTAAGTCCATTTACTAGATGTATAAGGGGGTGGGGTGTAAAAAAAAAATGGACCAATATGGCTCCTGGCAACATCCAGATTCATAATCAGTATGCTTTTCTGAGTCTAAAACCATTCACAGAACGCGGTCCTCATATTTTGCATACTCAACTCCCTCCAGCGCCTGGACTATATGTTGTTTGCACTTGAATTTATATCACTTAATTTATAATCCTTAAGAGGTTTCTTCAGTTTAATATTTTACTAAGGGAGAGTAAATCGGAAAAAAGTTTTATTTCGAAGAAACTTATAGAAATTAAATTTACCATTAACTAACTTTTTTTTTATTGTCATAGTCTTGTTTACATAATTTGAATTTACGCATATTTAAGACTGACTTTATATTATAAAGTAAAAATATATCATAACAATAACTAGTAAATTTTATATCCAGTCTTTAAGCACAATCAAGACGTCACGTTAGTTTAACTTAAGACATAAACATGAATAATCTATAAAAATTAACCTTTGTGAAGTTATTGAGAGATTCTAATCAGTACACTTACTATAAGTTTACATAAAACTAAATAGAGACAGTTTTCAGTGATACCTTATAACATTTCGCAAATGATAGTATTAACGTAAATGAGGATAACTTACTTGGTGTTAGTATGTGTTTAAAAAGAAATAACTCTATTACGTTCGCGCTTCATATTAAAAATTAAATGAACATCACCAGGACAACATCGTTGTATGGATAAAATATCATATGTATAATGAGTGACGCTGCTGACTCCGCGGACCGAACACCAAGCCGTGTGAACCAGAAGATTGCTGATACCACACAAGCTATGGAATGGTATTGTTAACCTAAAATCATAAGTATAAAAATTATAAGTGTTAATATGTATTTAATATTTTAATATACCTACATATAAGTAAGCTTCGTATTTTCCTGGAACCTCCGGTTGCCACCCTATATAATTTCTGTTATTCTATTAATAATATTTGTTTACAGTTACCCTGACAGAATAGGTTTCATATTTTCACTATAGTTCATAATAATGGTAAAACATCTATCGCTTTATAAAATATAGTTTCAATAAAAAAATAATTATTAAATAGAACTCCAATCTAAGAAAAATATAAAGAAATCTGAAATAGCCTCTATTATTTTGTCACCGATTTATTTTAATAGATTAATGGATACACGAAATTAGAATGAAAAAAATTGTATACGTGATTTAAAATTCCTATCATGCACTTTTGTTTCCTGTAATAATTATACGTTACTATAAATGCTATTTTAAAGTATTTGGACTTAGATTTGTACTAGAATTGAGCTTAATAAGCCGTTTTCTTCAATAGCTGATATAATTATCGCCTTTCTGATTATATACCATGGTTATTTGGTATATTAAACACTCCACGCTCGCGGGCCCCATAGAACAAGTAATGTTAGCCTTAAAAAACCTAGTCAATATAACGGATACATGAGTTTTTGTGCTGATTAATACAAAGATGTTTTTTTTTGTTGAGTTTCTGCCTCCCAAGTCGTTGCTCTAAGAAAATTGCTTAAATTTTTTATGGACAAACCTCTAATTGTGTGTACTTAAAGAAATATTTTTTGCCTGTTTAATTAAATGAATTCATTATCTTTTAGCGTGTGTGTCTTATACTTCTACCCCCACACTTCTAAACAATAAAAGATTTTTTTATAGATATTGTTACAGGGTAAGGACCTATACATTAATTTTCCTTAAACATTTGTAATATCAACGAATTTCATACTGTATTTGGAATTGTTTCAAATAAAGATTTCTATGTCTTAATTATATTTATTTTCTGTAAACATTTATAACGCTTAAATAATAGTATAAATATTAAATAAATAAGAAAACTAAATAATGTCTGGAAACCTGGTTTCTGTCAATAAAAGAAAACGGTAGTGAAGCGTGTATCGTCCTGTATTTTAAATAAATAATTTCTATCTATATTATTAAGTTTTAATATCACATCATAATATAAAGGTAGTACATTCATTCCATATATATTAGAACCTATATAAGCACTCCAAGATCAATAATACAAATAATTTTAAACTATACCCTGTTGATTGTCTTCATTTATAATATCCTATCTTATACATAGTAACGCCAACGAAAGGAGATAAATTTTGTCAACAATCTATGCTTTCCGTGATATACAGAGATTATCCGTATTTATTCATTATATTAGATCATCGCCTATATATAGATATATCTATGTATAGAGAATTAATAATATAACTGTTTCGTAAAAGTCTCGATAGTAAAAATGAAGGATGCGGATCGTTGATTTAGTTCAGATATCCGAAGATATCCGAGTGTATGAAGTTTGTATATTTGAATTATCTTGTTTCGTTGGATTCATTGTACCAGGTTTCTGGAAGATTATTAATATATTTGGCCTGCCTGAATGTATTGATATTTGTTATATATTTAGTAAGGATTTGATATCAGGTGGTGATGATGATAGTGGACCAATAGTTAACTATTTTTTGTTCATCTCGAGAGCACTGGTCGTGGCAACATTTCAGGAGGAGGCGGTTCCCACGTTGGTTCTCCGTACTTCTTCGGTTTTAATACGAAGATGAACTGAGAAGTAATATAAATTATATTATTATATTATAGAAAATCATTATATTTTGCATTAATTCTTACTTGTCCAAATTTCTGTAAAATTTAGCCATTAACATTAATACCAGCAATTAAAGATTTATTTCGTTATTTAAATGGGTTGTTATTCTCAATTTCTTAAGATTCTAGTAAATATTGCTTAAGATAAACGAACTATGGGTATTTCCAACAAAATATTCAATAACACACAAAACATTTGGATCTAACATGCACACACACACACACACACACACACACACACTCTACTCTAGTATACAGTAAGAAATAATTATTTATCATTTATTTTTATTTACATAGAACGATATGACACTAAAATATGAGAGAGGACACTGATTTCTGTAATACAGGTCTTTGAGGCTAGCTCAAAAATCAGGGACTTCATTATACTTTGTAACTTTTTTTGTGAATAAAGATTATTTATTATTATTGTTATTATTATCTAATACTCACCACTATAATTCCATACACAGCTCCGACAGCGAAGCCCACTGCCACGTCGCTCCAGTGGTGCATGTGGTCTACTATACGTGAGAGGCCCACATACCAGGCTGCCATGAGAACAGCGAACTGAACAGCGTGACGAAGAAGCTTTGATCCACGCCACTTACCCTTCACTTGGACGTATAACTGAAAATATTGTGCCTTATAAAATTCGCACCAAAATTTTATTCCCAATCGTAATTTTTCTAGATTTTTTTTTTGAAAAGGATCTCTTAAAGCATAATATTCAAATCCATTGATTTAGTATACTAAATTTGGGGTTAAGTGTGTGCTTTGTATATATTCTTACTCCGAATTATAACGGCAAAAGTAATGTAAACATTTGATATCTATGATAATACTAACAATTTAAAGATATGGACATACTTAAGCTTATCAAACATGTAATTGCTTTATGATATTAATTCAAGCGTTTTATATGGACAAATTAATGTACAAAAAAATATATATTGGACCTTTAGCTTTACTATAAATTAAAGTTAACGCAAAAGAATATCAACTTCTTACATCATATAGTAAGTTTCTTTTATATTTTGGGTCATAAAAGTATTATCTACATATTGTTATAATAGCTTACTATGAAGAATACAGCGCTATACATAGCGAAACTTGAATGAGCGCTAGGAAATGACAGCCTCATGTCCTTAAGATGAGCGGCATCTGCGCCAAGACATGTGAAGTCTTGGATGTAGCCCATAGTGTTTGTAGTGTTGTTTGGTATGGGCTGGCAAACCTGGAAAATATAGAAATATTTTATATAGATGGATTTTGGAGGTAAAAATGTAGGTGGAAGAGCCTAGTTTAAGTATATGAAACTAATGCAACTCAAATAACGTTTAGTTGCTCTTTTCACGGAAAATCAGTTCATAGGGACGGTTTTCACTGGGCTTCAAGGCTGATATTTTTCAGTTCAAGTGTAGAAAATCCAAGAATCTTGTCTAGTATAATCTGAAAAGTCATTGAAAAGAGTGGCCAGGGAAGCTCATAGTGACGGTATACTAGAAAACTAACTAACTTTATATAAGTCTTTTTTTTACTAGATATGGATGGAGCGAATCTGCTTTGGAAGGGAAGTGTGAATGGTATTTTGATTCACAAAAATCGAAATATTCTTTTGTTATTATAAAAGCCCAAACATATGTATGTGTTAAGTTACATGTTTATATATGACTTCACTTGTAATTATATTGAGAAACGGTTTTTAACCAGAAAATCGTTCATTAAAATAATACAGCGAATAGAATAAGTCCGTTAATATCTTTAATTTTATCTATAAAATTGCGTTATTTATTATCTTATCGGTGTATGTTAAGTGTTACATGAACATAATCAGATATCTAATTAGGTCTTGCTATACAAAGGATAACAATTTCCTTATTTTACGGATCTAAATACCATGACCAATTTAATCAGTAACGTTACACTTAAGAACAGAATTACTTATGTATATTTATTTTAAACTAGAAGACCTGGCAAACTTAGTATCGCCCTATAATCAAGAAATATCTATTACGTTTTTTTATTTATATTTTTGGAGTTTACCTGTAAGCCATATTATATCTCCGTGTTTTGAAGTGCGACAGAATGATTGACATATTAGTTGTCAAATCTAATGTCAAAAAAAACGTTTGTATGGGAAATAGAAAAGGGCTGTTTTTATGGTTTTCCCAGTAATGAATCAAATTTTTTCAGCTTTTATACCTTCCCTGAACCTCCACGAACATTTCAAGACTAAGATAAGATAAATCCGTTCAGCTGTTCTCGAGTTTTAGCGAGACTAAGGAACAGCAATCCATTTTTATATATATAGAAGATTAATTCTGTTTTATTGCTTACATCAAAGAAATGAGGTCGTAATCTCCCGATGACGTATTTGGCTGAATTAACAGTAAGTTGCTGGCAGGCTGCGCCAAACGTGAAGACGCCAATAGCACAGTAAGATTCCCAAACCCAGCCAGGGAATAATGTGCCAGATACAAACTTGTCTCCAATACCCTTACCTCGCTTATCACGTACCAACTCCATTATTATTATCTGGAATTATACATCACTTTGTTATAATAACTTCATCATATTTCAATCAATATCTATGAATATTATAATCAGATAACGTATGTTAAGTTTTAGGTAATTTTCATTCTAACTTGTAATTAATAATCCTTTAGAAGTTATTGTGGGTTTATTTGTATATTAAATAAACTTGTACGTACAGTGACTACATTCAAAGCAAACCCGAGACTCGCCAGCAGGCTTTCAGATATCGTTTGCTCTTTGAATGGAAGTTTGAGGGAGTCATCGTCTGCGAAGTATCCACGGTGAAATGGTTCCGCGAACAAATATATCATAAGTAAGGGTACACCAACTGAAATAATAACTTTATTATTAAGGAAATAAATTCTATTATTAAATATCTGGAATAAAAATATGTGATTAAAGTCTTAACTATTATTATTTTTTTATCTTTTACTTCGTATACGGATATTATAGCAGAACTCTTGTGTAGGTTGGAACATTTTAAAATGTGATTAGGATATATTCTCTTTCTTCCTGGCAATTTCTCAGCTTTAGCCAGGGTTTGCCATGTGATAAGGATATATTATGTAGAAACTTTGCTCAGGAAAAATCTTTTAGTTTTAAATAAAATTTATTTAAAAACTAGAAAAACTAAAATATTTGACAAAAATTTATCTAGCATATACCGAGGAAATGTCTTAAAACATAAGTCATACACGCAAAAGTAGTTCTTAAATAATCGTTCAAGCGTAATAAAATAACAATTATAATTATATACGACATAAATATTATTCCGTGTTATGTTAAATTTCATGCAATTAATTCTGATTACTTGAAAACATTAAAAAGTTGTATGTATTTCTGATCTGTTTTTAATTATATTGTTCTATTGAAAACTTCATTTATTTTTCTTATAATGCTTAATCTCTCACTATTCCTAAGCATTATTAATTTAAGAACTATAGTAACATAATATTAATGTAAAAATATAAACTAAAAAAACTGTTCTCAACTTAACTTTCTTTCGTTCAATGATCACATAACTTTTAAAGTTTAATTTATAATAAGTTTTTTATCATTTGTTTTTCTTCTGACGGAGTTTATTTTCAAATTAGGGCAATCTTATTCCAGTTAAGAATGGATAATTAACATGATAACTAACTAAAGAGAAGAGGAAATAAGGACAGCGATGTTTTAGACCACATGATGTCACTTAGATTTTTGTGGTGGTATCCTCGCTTGTGAGGTCAGGTACATATTGAAGCAATCTGTGAGGCTATTGACATTAAAAAAAAACATCCTAATTACAATAAAGAAGATGACTGATATTATCTAACAGCTGGGACACTCATAAAAAATATAAAATTCCAATTTCCATGTCAGTGACCACACTGCAGGACCTCGGTATACCATAAAAGCATTCTTTATGCAGAGCGATATACAAGAAAATTAAGAAATCATTGGCAGTAGAAGTTAAACAATATGACTAACTGAAAGGCGTTTTCATCTCGTCTCGTGATTATGGTTGCTGCAAAGAAAACCGAAATATCGGGATTGTGTAGTCACAAAGTAATAAACAACGCGTAGTTTTATCCGAAATTGATGAAGATACCATTCATAAATAATCCTTAATAAAAATTGATAAATATTTTTTTAATTAAACGAATATGAGTACGTTTTAAAGCAATCAAATACTTTTATAATTTATGCCCGCTTGATTGAATGATCGTTTTGGGATGTCTTCGTAACCGTTTTAGCGATTTTGAGAGGAATTTATCCGTCAAGTAGCTAGTATATTAAGAACTAACTTAGGGTATTGTAAATTTATATTAATTTTTGTGAGTTATTGATAAAAAAAATCACGCTGACAGAATGGAAACGTGTATATAATTGTTTTACTGTTAGCAATTTCACATAGTCTAATGGGGTGTTTTTTGTTTAAATTTGTTGAAAAAGTAGCAGGCACATTTTATATGTACATACTGAAATATAATGTAAAACAATAGAAGTGTTTCTTCGACAATTATATTGATAATATAATAACAATCGAATTAATTAATCTAAATAATTGTACATCGTATTACAATAATTGAAATGGTGTTCCTTTTTTATAATAATATTTAACATATTTAATACAATACTAGTTTTTGTCAGCAACATTGTGTGACTGGACTTGACAAAAGTTTGTTTAAACAATAGATATGGTTATAGCCGGCAACATTTACATTTTACAGTATGCGTCACGTGATTTCATGTGTGTATGAATAGATATTCTATAGTCTATATCTTTTTAAGATATCTGTACTAGTGTGAAGTTTCATTAAAATTCTTAATTATTTTTTGCGCGACAGAACAACAAACATCCGTACTTCCACACATTCATTCTTTTAACGTCGCGTTTATAATATTAGTAAAATCTGACAATACTTATGTTACTGGCAAGATATGACATTTCCCAGAGGAGGGTGGCAGTCGAGAGCCGGAGGGGGTCCATAGAGTGGTGGACAGTCGAAAACGGCGTGCCACAGGGGTCGGTCCTGGGACCGGTCCTGTGGAACGTCGGATACGACTGGGTCCTGCGGAGTCGTCTCCTCCCCGGGATGGGTGTCATCTGCTACGCCGATGACACCCATCCCGGGGACGAAACTACAGGGAGGCGGCGCGGCTGGCCGAGGTCGGAACTGACCTCGTGATCAGCCGCATAGAGAGGTTGGGGCTTCGGGTGAGAATAGACAAAACCGAAGCCCTCCTCTTCCGCGGGACTGGGCGGAAAGGACCCCCGCCGGGTGCCACCCTTCTCATAGGAGGAGGGAGGGTCAGGGTGAGTCCCACCATGAAATATCTGGGGCTCACTCTTGACGGAGGGTGGACCTTCGTGCCTCATTTCAAGGAACTGGGGCCGAAGGTCGTGAGGACGGCAGGTGCGCTGGGAAAATTCCTCCCGAACCTCGGAGGACCCAGCGCAGCTTGCAGGCGGCTATACTCTGGGGTCTGTCGGAGTATAGCCCTGTACGGTGCTCCCGTTTGGGCTGATCGCCCAATGAGCCGCAGGACCAAAGCCCTGCTGCGCTCTGCGCAAAGGGCTCCTGCGGTGAGGGTGATTAGGGGGTACCGTACGGTCTCCTGGGCCGCAGCGACTGCCCTTGCCGGCGATCCGCCTTGGGATCTCGTGGCGTCGGTTCGAGCCGAGTTGTTCTCCTATGTCTCGGGTAGGAGGGCACTCGGCGAGAACCCTTCGTCGGAGGAGATCCGAGCGGTTCGTCGGCAGGGGGAGGAGCGCCTTATGCGGGAGTGGGGGGAGGACCTGGCGGAGCAGCCGTACGGTAGACGTACAACGGCAGCGCTTCGCCCGGTCCTAGAGCGTTGGATGAGGCGGAAACGCAAACCCCTCACTTTCCGTCTGACGCAGGTCTTAACCGGGCACGGGTGCTTTGGTTACTACCTGTGTCGGACGGCCAGGAGAGAGCCGGGAGAAGGCTGCCATGAGTGCGGCGCTGCGGTGGACTCGGCCCAGCACACCCTCGAGGTGTGCCCGAGATGGGCTGCGCAGCGCCAAGACCTTGTGGCGGCTCTCGGCGGAGTGGACCTGTCGCTTTCGAGTGTCGTGGAGAAGATGCTCGAGAGTGATGGGTCCTGGTTGGCGGTGTCCTCCTTCTGTGAGACGGTCATGTCCACGAAGGAGGCATCTCAGCGGGAAAGGGAGAGGGCGGCTGATGCTCCCTCCCCCCGCAGGCGACGTACGGGGGTGCGACGGAGGCAATTCCTACGCCTCCAATAGCACCCCTGTGTTCCGGGCTGGGGTCGGCGTGGTAACCCGGCCCTTTTGAAAGCCCGGCGTCGTCGGGGTGGTCCTAATTGCCGGGATCGCCCCCATTCTCCGGGGGAGTAAGTCCGGTCTTTGCCAGGACCGGCCAGTCGCTGGTGTGCCCTGTCGCTGATAGATCCGGGGTACACCGACATAGCGGCCGATGGCTTTCGCAGTGGTTTTAGTGAGTAGGGGCCTGCCCAGGCCGAGCCTCACACATCCCTTCCGGCCCCACCAAGGTCGGTTGGACGGCTCGTAAAAAGAGTTTCCACTACGTCATCAAAAAAAAAAAAAAAAAGATATGACATTTAATACTTGTGATTTTTAATATAATTTTAATTTAATTAGTTTCTCCAAGAGTTCGAACACTACGGAAAAAAATATCTAGTTTCAAGTATTACAAATATTTAGAACGTTTAAATCGTTAATTGACAAAAATGGTATGTGTCTTATAAAGTAACACTTAAAGCCTTAAAGGCTTGGAACTATTTAGAATGATGCAAGCATTTAATACAAACTCACTAGGTACGAGTTTCATCCTTGAGATCATTTTTATATCCTTGTTTACCTTAACACTGTCTCTGTCTCTTTGTCATTAAAATCATATATGTGAAATGTTTCCTTATTTATAATAAATATATTTTTTATTATATAGTTTTTACTTGCCAAAGTAAGAACACAATGCCAAAACAATTTAATGGTACAACGCCCGCTTACAAATGTATCTGTAGGAATGAATCATTTGTGTCTTAAAATTGAGACAAAAATATACAATGATTACATATAATCTACCTTCTTTTTGCGATTATCGTTAAAAATATGCCTTTTAGAAAAGTCTTTACATCAACAAAACACATATTTCTAAATTTTTTACATATAAAAATCATATTCGGACGTTTTTGCGTGTCTAAATATTTCAAATTATCTTTTGAGCATAATGAGTGTTGTTATAATCTGTTTCTTAAGATAACTTTGTTTTTTATTGATTCAGTTGTGTGATAATAAGATAAGGAGATTTCAAAATTATATTTTTTAACATGTACATAGCTATATATATTATACCTATGTCTTTTATAGTTTTAATTGAAAATTTACGCTCACACTGCCATACCATTTCTCTTTAACAAACATATTTAACATTAGATTTTTTTAAATAAATAGTACTAATTTAAAAATTTCATAGAACTACTAATAGGTAAATATTTTAGAAATGTAATACAAACATAACTGTAATCGAAATTAATTAGTCTAAAAACAATATTTAAAATTTACTTACCGCATGCTAAAACGATAAAGTCCAATAATATTTTCCATATAATTTTATCCACTGCCATTTTTTACACTAAACGATGCAGCCATAAACTCCAATTACAAATTGTTCACTTCAAGGCTTTCTAAACTATTAAATAGTCAACATAATACGACATTTCGTTGAGTCTGTTTTCACTCAAATCAATGTATGTGTGATTTGCGTGCGAACGCAAATCATTCTGATAAAGGACACTGATAATAAAGCATATCTGAAGTAGGGTGGATGTTAGTCACTCGTGATGTCATTTTGTACGTTTTGTTAGAAAGTAGAAGAGGCCAAAGCAAAATAAACTTTATCACATATTACATAAAGATAATTTGATTTCAATTAATTCATTAGAAATTACAAATTCAGACCGTGTTTAAACCTTGTAGGCACACCATTGACCTTGCAGACTTTCTGCACCTTGCATCGTATCCATAACTATAAATCATAACATTGTAATAACTGCATTATACATTCAAGCGTAAGGTATAATGTTCTATGAAATAAAATTTTTATTGTAGTGACATCTGTGGAGGACTTAAGGAACTAAGCTGTACTATAAGAGTCAAGATAGTCTTACATATTTATAATAGATGGCGACACTGGACACCAATTTTTTCTACTTTAATTACAAGACATTTAAAATAAACATCTGTTTGCAACTTCGTATAATGTTGCAGTGTAATAAAATTATTCTTTATGTATCTTTGTTTTTGCCTGATATTCAATAATTAAAATATAATACAATAGCAAAAATAAAAGTCTTTTGTTTAATATGAACGTGTTTATTATGCTCAAAACCTAACTACAATATAAAATATAATCAATAAATAGCTGCCAAATAAAGTAGTGCAATGCAGTGGCAGTACTCCACTGTAAATGTTTAAAAGTTTTGTTTGATTGTAAATTTCTTAAAATACATTTAATACAACTATAAATATACATCTTTGAATAATATTTCAACACACACAAAATATTTTAAAAATCTAGATAAGTCTGACCACAGAGCCCCACTCACGCGCCATTACACCGAAGACATCCCTGATGTCGACCAGGGCGAGGTTCGAGTTGCTCTTGAGCAACTTATGAACAACAAGTGCCCAGGGGATGACGGAATCACGACAGAGCTCCTAAAAGCGGGCGGGACACCGGTCCTGAATGAGCTAGCGAGTCTCTTTAATTCCGTCATCCACCAGGGCTTAACACCTCGGGCGTGGAGCGGGAGTGCGGTGGTTCTGTTCTTCAAAAAAGGTGACAAAACCTTGCTGAAGAATTATAGACCCATCTCACTCCTGAGCCACATCTACAAGTTGTTCTCGAGAGTACTCACAAACCGCCTCGCCAGAAAACTCGACGAGTTCCAGCCACCCGAACAAGCCGGGTTTCGAAAAGGCTACAGCACTGTAGACCACATCCATACTGTTCGGCAGATTGTGCAGAAGACCGAGGAGTACAATCAGCCGCTGTGTATGGCCTTTGTGGACTACGAAAAAGCCTTCGACTCCATCGAAACCTGGGCAGTTCTAGATGCTCTGCAGCGGTGTCGCGTCGATTGGCGCTATATCGAGGTGTTGAGATGTCTTTATGAAACCGCTACCATGACCGTCCAGCTCCAGGACCTAAAGACCAAACCAATCGAGTTGCGCCGAGGGGTAAGGCAGGGGGATGTAATATCCCCCAAGCTCTTTACCAACGCGCTCGAGGACGTCTTCAAGACGTTGGACTGGACTGGACGGGGCATTAACATAAATGGCGAGTACATCTCACACCTTCGGTTTGCCGATGATATCGTCATCGTTGCGGAGTCACTGGAACAGCTGAGCGAAATGCTGCACAGCCTAGATGGAGCCTCACGACGCGTTGGTCTCGGCATGAACTTGGATAAAACCAAGATTATGTTCAACGAACATGTCGTGCCGAGACCGGTTTATGTCGACGGATCGGTTCTCGAAGTTGTTCAAGAGTATACCTACCTTGGACAAGTTATCCAGCTTGGTAGAAACAACTTCGAGAAGGAAATCGATCGCAGGATTCAGCTAGGTTGGGCAGCGTTTGGCAAATTACGTCGGGTTTTCTCCTCGCCTCTACCGCAATGCCTGAAGACCAAAGTCTTCGACCAATGCGTCCTACCAGTTATGACCTACGGGGCTGAGACGTGGACACTCACTGTAGGACTAGTCCACAAACTTAAAGTCGCTCAGCGGGCTATGGAACGAGCTATGCTCGGCGTTTCTTTGAAGGACAAACTTCGAAACGAAGAAATCCGACGAAGAACTAAGGTTACCGACATAGCTCGTAGAATAAGCCAGCTGAAGTGGCAGTGGGCTGGTCACATCTGCAGAAGGACTGACGCACGGTGGAGCAAGCGTGTCCTTGAGTGGAGACCGCGTCTCGGCAAACGTAGAGTAGGACGCCCCCCAGCTAGGTGGACCGATGACCTCAAAAAGGTCGCTGGGTCTCACTGGATGCGGAAGGCAGAGGACCGAATGTTATGGCGCGTGTTGGGAGAGGCCTATGTCCAGCAGTGGACTGCTATAGGCTGAGTGATGATGATGTGATGATGATGAGATAAGTCTAAATTTATAGGCACGATAGGTATTTAATATGTATGTGATAAAAAAATTCGTTGTACTCCTATAAGCCTTACTTCATAGTGCCATAAAATTCAGAACCAAAACTTTTATAAGAATTATTTACAATAAATAAGCTTTAAATAACCTATGACATATATAACTACAACTAAAACAACTGTAATATTTTTTTTATTTACTTTTCTATATCACAGAGTAAAAATACATAGTCGGTCTCCGAGACCGAATTTTTAGTCTACCAATAAATATATGAGCTGTGCACTCTATAATGTTGTAGCGGTAAATGCAACCGAATTCGTTTAGAAATATAAAAAAAAATCTTAATATAATTGTACCTACGCAGAATATAATATTAGTGCTTCAATTGTTTTCACTAGTTATAATTACTTAAAATGAACTGTCCCTATTAATTATCTGTCAAAATACAGTTTTGTTCCAGAACAAATTTACATTCACAGATTAAAAATATTTCCGAAGTCACTCAAATTATTCGTACAAGTTTATGTCAATGTGATAATTATATTGCACTTAAGTCTTTTATTACTGAAAAAAAATTACGTCTTAAAATAAAAATATTACAAACAGAAATTACAAAGATTATGTTAGTATTATGCGTGAAAAAAAAAGAAATTGAATATGAACACACTGGGATTGTGTTTTGAAGAAAAATATATTTACAGAAGATATTATTGGTGAAGTTAATGAATATTTTGATAGATTAGTACAGATGGAAGACCCAGATATTATGTATTACGAAAATCGTGTAAGAGTTCATTGACCTTCATAATAATTATTCTCTTGACACTAATAAAATGCGATTACTATATAACATAAATTGTATAAAAATCTTAATAGTATAGAAGGGATACGTGTTACGTAGTTGTAAAATATACGAAGTTATAGTAGAAAGAAAATATAAATATGAACTTGAAAAATACTATATATACAGTTTAAGATATTACGTCAAGTCATTCTCTTCTAATTGACAGACATTTTTTTATTTCACTATCGCTGCTATACTTAACGTAGACACTGTTTCCATTATGCCAAGTGACTTCTTACCACAAGTTTGCACGAATTAATAAAAAGTATCCATTGTTTCATTCATTCTACTTTGATACTTGTAAAAGATACTATGTTTTTGTTTGTCCCAAACTAGTAGTAGTATTTTCATGTATCCTTGTAAGTGTAAAGTATTTCCATTATATATGGTGGGTGGTCTGTGTGTCCGTGTGTCAGACGTTCAACGGGCGCGTGTTTCCATTGGTAGCGAGCTCGTTGTCGTGATGATTGAAGGTCTGTCTTCGCGGAGTCTTACGTAGATCAGACACGAACGTGAACTAGTGATTGTAAATTTATATTTATAACTCACAGTAGAGAAATTTAATGATAAGATTTTCGTCAGTCCTATTCATATAAAACTAATATTTTGCAGATAAACTACGCGGTTTATTTTTGTAAAAAAACTGCATACTATCTGGTAGCTGAAACGTCGCGAGTATTTAGTTTTTTATCAAAAATAAAATCGCGTATGTAGTATATCCGAAAAATATTAGTTTCATTTAAATGAGTAGAGAAATTTCCATGCTTTAGTATGGTGTGGTAAATTTAGAAGTATTTTTTTTTATCAATTTAAGTCTAGTGACGTTATGTTATAGTCCAATTATAATTTCATTTCTTAAGTTATTTGGGAGTGATACGTCAATAGAACTATTACTAATAGATTTTATTTGTATTTAATAAGGAAAGTTATAGTAAGACATATAGCTCACCACAATAATAGCGAATAATAGTCCAATACTGAAGCCGGCCAATACATCGCTCCAGTGATGTTTGTAGTCAGATACTCGCGACATGACCGTGTACCAAGCCATCATCACAAGCAGAAACTGGATCCCGTGTCGCAATAACTTCGAGCCGCGCCAAGTGAATCTCTTTTGAAGGTACATCTGGAATGATGAGCAGATTTCGTGGTAGCGGTTTATCGAAACTATGGAGATATTGCGATATTTTTTCCGTACATCAAATATTCGGACATTGGCATTTTTTGTCCTTGGACCAATTTACTTTTTGCCAGACGAACTTATAACGAAATGTTATGGCCTTAATAAAAATAGTGCTGAAGAAAATTGAACTTTATTATTAGGTTACATAAAGAACAAATAGAATATAATTTTGTAATATTTTTAGCTATCAGCGTATTTTATGATATTGGTAATGAGCAACTGTTAGTTTTAATTAATAATAATATATGGATTTCATTTGTTTATTTGAGGTAACGTTGGTCTGTGCATTAGGCATATATCATGCGGTCTAAGGCTCTACAGAGGGTGGTTCTCTTATTTATTGGGACGGAACAAATAGTTTTTGAAGGTTATGGGGTGACTGTACACGTGGAAAAAGAACATTTGTGCGCGAATTATGTTGGAGATAACTTCCTATTTTAGTTAACTGATTACTATAAAGTAGGTTTGTATTTCATCAAGTATTTTTTGTTCATGTTGCTCCTAATACCTCAAATTATGTGGTTTGGGGAACTAACTGTAATATATATTTATATAGTTGTTAAAATCCGAAACAGAAACATAAATATTTTATCTTATTTTCAATCTTTTTGATATCGCGAACCCTTTATGGGTTGAAAAATTTCGGTGACCACTTTGTGCCTCCTTGTGCCTGTCAATGTAGGCAAAGAAATTATTAAATTAAAAGGCTAAGTTAAAGTTAAAAACAATCTCTGCAATGGTCGACATCAAAACAAAAAAAAGACTAATAAACTTCGGTAATAAATAAGATTTGGTTCTATTGTAATTTAGAACTTTATCTTTTTGCCGCGACCCCCCGATTAAGTCTTCGCGACCCACAGATTGGAAAACACTAATCTAATATATATAACAAATAGTTAAAATGCATAGTCATTTTGTATAACTATTAAAATTACGTAAATACCAAAAAACATATATTAATTGCAACGACTCATAGTACTATCCAAGACGACTTACAAAAAAAAAAATTAATACTGCCTAAAAAAAATCTTGAAAATTTCGATGGTTTAATTTACTCCAACATCAAAACAAATATATATACCTACTAGCTTTCCGCCCGCAGCTTCGCCCGCGTTAAATTCGGTTATATCGCGTCTCCAAGAGAATCTTTCAAAAGTCTGAGATAAAAACTATCCTATGTTCTTTCTCAAGGTAAACTCCATCTCTGTACCAAATTTAAATAAAATCAGTTCAGTAGTTTAGGCGTGAAAGCGTAACAGACAGACTGACAGACAGACAGATATTAGTAGGGATGTATAAAACATATACTCCTCCTAACACAAGTTAATTCTATAACTTAAAAGGAGCTCCTTAGCTGTATCTGTTGTATATATGTACATATATAATCTTACCGCGAAATACAGCATAGTATATGCTGAGAAGGATGAATGTCCACTGGGGAAGGACAGCCTCATCTCCTTCATCAGCTTGGTGTCTGTTCCGAGACACGTGAAGTCCTCTATGTAACGCCACTTGTTCTCTTGCAATGTACAGTCGACGTCCGGGTTGCAAACCTGGTGATACAAATATTAAATTAATGGTTTAGGAAAACAATTTATTTATTTTATTTATTTATATACACTTTATTGTACACCAATATATAATAGGAGTAATAGGAATAACATAAAGAAAAGAAAATGTACAACAGGCGGCCTTATCGCTAAAACAGCGATCTCTTCCAGGCAACCTTTGGTAGAGGAGAGAGATAGGATGGTAGGGGTGTACAAATTATAAATATAGATACAATATATATATATATATATATATATACATCCATATATATGCATATATACGATACATAAATAAATATACCATAAATATATACTTATATAATAATATAATATACATACACATTATAAATATATACATTTACATACTATAGATAGTTACATAATATGTAAATAAAATATTTAATTGCAGTACATATTTCTTCACGAAGCAAGATAGTGCTCTTTTATCATTTTTTTAAAAGAAGTCAAGGTTGGTGCACGTCTTGCTTCGAGTGGAAGAGAGTTCCAAAGACGAATAGAATGGACAGTAAAAGAGTGAGTGTAAAAAGAAGTTGTATGAGGTGGTATTTTTAACATCAAATTCTCTTCAGAACGAAGATTATGACTATGTGAAGAACTAAGAAATTGAAAACGTTCTTTTAGATATGAAGGAGAAGACGGATTGAACAGAATACAGTACAGAAGCTGAAGGATGTGAGTATTCCTGCGAAGCCGGATTGGGAGCCACTTGAGCTTTTTACGAAACTCAGAAACGTGATCATATTTACGAAGACCAAATATGAATCGGATGCAAAGATTTTGGAGACGCTCAAGTTTATTAAGTTGCTCCTCTCTTAAATCAAGATAACATGCGTCAGCATAATCGAGAATTGGTAGTAGGAGTGACTGTGCTAACATAACTTTGGTAGGGATGGGTAGAAAGTTGCGTAATCTTCGGAGGGAGCCAAAGGCTGCAAAAATTTTTTTACTTACCTCACTTACCTGTGGTTCCCAAGACAGGTGCTGGTCAAAGGTAATTCCCAAATTCCTAGCTGTGACACTGAACGGTATGTTAACACCGTTAAAGTGTACAACCGGGAGATCCGAAAAAGATATGCGAGAAATTAATTTTGAACTACCAATGATCAGCACCCGTGTTTTATTTGGGTTTACTCGTATTCCAAATGCAGTAGACCACTTAGAAATATTTAATAAATTATTATTAACAAAATGTATAGTTGCGGGAAGGTTCGCAATTTTACATTGTGAATAGATCTGGAGATCATCTGCATACAGGTGATAGAGAGAAGATATATGAGAAGTGATGGTACTTATAAAGACCGAAAACAAGAGAGGAGACAACACGCCACCTTGTGGAACGCCAGCAGTTATAGGAGCCCATTCTGAGAAAGAATCTTGAACTCTTATCCGTTGCCGGCGCCCATACAAGTAAGAATGAAACCAGTCAATTACTTTAGGAGATATGTTAAGAGAACACAAAATAGCAAGAAGAATATCAAAGTCTACAGCGTTGAAAGCATTACTAAAATCTAATAATGTCAACACAGTAACCTGTTGATTATCCATTCCTAATCTAATGTCATCAGTTATTTTGATCAGAGCCGTAGTCGTACTATGACCAGGACGGAAGCCAGATTGTAAAGGATTCAATAGGACATTTTTTGAAAGGTATTGGTTTAATTGATTGTGAATAAGGCGCTCAAGTACTTTAGACAGGAAAGGAAGAATGGATATAGGACGATAATCAGTGTAAGATGAAGGATTTGTTTTTTTGGGGAGGGGGATGACTTGTGCGTCTTTCCAGGATTCAGGGAATTCACAAAGGATAATGGATTGGTTTAAAATATGTGTGACTACAGGAATTATAATATCTAAGATTGGGAGGATCATCTTACGACTAATGCAATCCGAACCAATAGCATCAGAATTTATTGCTAAAATGTTCTTCTTAACATCACTATGAGTAAATTGACTAAAGAAAAAAGGAGAATTTTCAGGAGTTGATTTAGCAGAAATTTCTTTTAAAGTATTAGACTTCACAGAAGTGTCGAAAGTTTGAGAGGTCGAAAAATGATTATTTAATTCATTTAAATTAATATTGTGAGTATTTATGTTACTAGAAGATTTTCCAACTCCTAAGGACTTGAGAAATTTCCAGACTCTAGCCGACTCCTCTTCCTCAGCTATAGATTTATGGATATGGCGTCGTTGACTATCTCTACATAGCCTGTTGCAACGATTGCGAACCTTCAGATACTTGTCGCGATTTGCGTCAGTCGGATTACACCTATACTTAGCCTTGGCAACATTCTTTCTTACTTGGAGCTTCTTTATTTCTGGGGTGAGCCAAGGTGCAGGAAGGTGTTTTAGCCGGACAGGACGAATTGGTGCATGTAAATCATACAGTTGAGTTAATAGGGAATTAAAAACTGTAACTTGCTCATTAACTGTATCAACATTTAAAATAACACTCCAATCAATGTTGGCAGCATCCTCCCGCAGACTATTCAAATCCATTCCACCAAAATTACGCTGCAGAAGAATTCTCGATTTTGCTTTGGGTGGTTTGATTTTATAGGAGAGATAAAGAAGATCATGATATGAAAAAGCAAGGGCGGAGCACTGCCCATGCTTTTCAACATGATCAACGGAAGAGACCAAAATTAAGTCGAGAAGAGAAGGAATAGAGTTAGGGAAGGAATGAGTAGCAGATAGGGGTAGGATTTGTAAATCTGCACTATTTAGTACAGATTTCAATAGTCTAGAGCGATGGTCATTTTTTAAAAGACATGTATTAAAATCTCCCATAAGAATGGTATGGGCATACAAAGGTTTAAATCGCTCTAGAAGGATTTCAAATGATGAAAAGTAATCGACCGTGAGGTTAGGACTATAGTAAACACCTAATAAAATCTTAACATTACCAAAGATAGCCTCAATAAAAAGGTGTTCAGCCCCCTCAACGGACAGAGGTGTCGATTGACTTATAATTGAAAAGGGAATGTGAGAACGGAGATAGATCGCCACTCCACCACCTGCCCGACCTACACGGTCGTTACGGATCAAATGAAATCCAGGAAGAGAGTAGGAAGTAGAAGGTAAGCAGGGTTTAAGCCAGGACTCAGATACGAGAATAGCATGTATTTTATTGCAATCGAATGATGAAAGCATATCAGGATAATGTGCAGGAATACTCTGAGCATTAATATGGATAACATTAAAACATTTCAGACAGTCTGAGAATAAAGAATTTATAGTTTCAATCTTAAGTATAAAGAAAGAAAATACATCGGAATGTGATAATTGATGGCTACTAATAAAAAAGGATAAAGTTTGATCTCGCTTTTTCTGTTTTATATACATAACTAGCTTTCCGCCCGCAGCTTCGCCCGTGTGGAGTTCGGTTATATCACGTTTCCAAAAGAATTTTTCAAAAGTCTGTGATAAAAACTATCCTATGTTTTTTCTCGAGATCAACTCTATTTCTGTACAAAATTTCATTAAAATCAGTTCAGTGGTATAGGCGTGAAAGCGTAACAGACAGACAGACAGAGTTAATTTCGCATTTATAATATTAGTAGGGATATGTTGAATAATAAATTATGAAAATATATATATTAAAGCTTTTGTTTAAATTCTGTTTAATATATATATTGCAATAAATATTTTTTCATTTAATTTTGTAATGGAGATCAAAGTAAATGTAATTTGAATTTTATTCACTTAAGCGAGCGTTAGACCATAATTGGTGTAATGGCTAACACCAATTACAAACTATCAAATTAGCACGTAGCTTAGAAAATTACACAACAGCCTCCCTGGGCATGATTTACTCTGCTTATTATCCTTCTTGGACCTTATTGAAGGATGATATTGAATTAAATCGAAGACAGTTAGCTTCTATGCCGTCATAATAATTCATAATAATATAAAATTTTCTACCAGGCATCTAGTTTCTATAAATAAAGTTAAATAACCTACTTTACATTATCCGCTTGTACAACGTCGGAGTTAATTTAAAAACAATTTAGTTTAAAGCCGCGGGACTTGCGTGTTACAAATAAAGGTTTTTGTAAAGATCTCGTAAACCGTACTTAGCTGAACAAGAACTAATTACATTCTCAATAAGAAAATAAAAAACCTCCTTGGATAAATATTATGGCGCGAAATTTATATAAAGCAAATAAAACTTAAAGGTTGATACCGTGTATGGCTTCTTGATTTTTGATTGTTTTACGCTGTATCAATATGACTGTTAACATCAGCACCATATTATTACGTGCCAATGTTTTCCACACATCAATCAAGATACCCGGTTCTGTAACTAGTTTATTTTATAATGAAAGGTTTTTTTTAATACCGAAATCTTTAACGATCTTTTGCTTTTATAAGGTTAGTATGTATTTATTTTACGTATTTTGCATACTAAGCTGGTGCAATTTAGCAATTATGTGTACGAGACGTGAGCCGCTAGCTATATCGCAGATCTCAGCGAGTCCCCTTCCACTTTAAAAGGTTATTTGTTGCTTCTATAACGTTATTTATTTTCTGATTGAGCTATTATTTCGATACGCATCTAGTTCGCTCTATTCGGTATTTTAAATGTTTGTTTTATAAATAGGCAGTTAAGATTTGATGGTAAAATATTTGCATTTTATTATTGAGAGAACAATTTTGTTAATTACATTTACGTATAAAATAATATGTTCATAATATATTTGCGACTTTATTATTGTTAATTGTTTAAGATTGCCAGCATCCATAATACTAATTAGGATTAGGATTAATTTGTGATGTCACGATCGATTTCTTAAAAGAAATAAAATTTGACGTCATTTTATTAATGTCATAAAGAGCTAAGAAGAGGGAATGTATTTATACCATCTTTATGAATCAAAAACTACAAAGTATTTTCACTCACGCATATTAGGGTTAGACTTTTATATCAGATTTCATATTTAAGTCTCAATTACGTAATAAATTATATACTTTGTAATGTAACT